AAAGTGTTTTTATCGTCTGTGAACCAGACTGTAATGATGGTGTTCTGTTTGCATGCTAGTTGATGAATGCAGAACTCCGCTCTTGACTCTGTAAGTTGTGAATAAGTTTGGACCGTTACAAATCATCTAAATGGTAGTTCTGTTTTTTTTTGTTTTTTTTTAAGACTGTAAAAATCAGTTTCAGTCCCTTTAAATCTCGCTGGTGTCACGTACTTGGAGATGTAGTTCTACAGCCAGAATGCATTCCTCACCTTCTCCTTTTGGACAGATCGAGTCTTTTCAGTTCCAGTTTGTTACTCTAGTTCTAGATCTGCCTGTACGACCCGGCAACTGAGACTAGAGCACGAGCTTTACCCTGGCAGGTGGTAAACGAGATTTCACAAAGAAAAAAAAAGTCTGCTTTAGTTAACTTGATTTGAACCACTTACTACAAACTCTACAGGTAATTTAGTTATTTCTGGAATGGCCCAAAAGTACTTTTATTGGATATACCTAAAAAGAATGAGTTTAGCTATGATAAAAAATAGTAGTAGTAGTTGTTGTAGTAGTAGTAGTAGCAGGTTGTTGTAGTGGTAGTAGTAGTAGTTGCAGTAGGTTGTTGTAGTGGTAGTAGTAGTAGTAGTGGCAGTTGCAGTAGTGGTAGTAGTGGTAGAAGTAGTAGTTGTAGTAGAGGTAGAAGTAGTAGTTGTAGTAGTGGTAGTGGTAGAAGTAGAAGTCGTAGTTGTAGTAGTGGTAGAAGTAGAAGTCGTAGTTGTAGTAGTTGTAGTAGTGATAGAAGTTGTAGTTTTAGTAGCTGTAGTAGTGGTAGAAGTAGTAGTTATTGCAGTAGTTGTAATTGTTGTGGTAGTGGTGGCAGTTGTAGTAGCTGTAGTGGTAGTAGTGGTAGAAGTAGTATGTGTTGTAGTTGTAGTTGTAGTAGTAGTAGTAGTAGTCATATATGTTCATAGTAAATAAAATGTTTCTTGAGTGATGGTGCATCTTTTCAATCGTGTCAGGAAGCGACGGCCCTGATCCACACACTGTGTTCAGTTGTTCAGTGTCACTGTGTTCAGTGTAAACAGAGCCGCTCGTCCTAACACAGACACTTTTGTCCTGAGGATTCACTAAGATTTCTTATTAGTAACAATAAACCCACCAGAGTTTATGTCACGTATTTGATGTTCTGTGAGTCTAGTTTAGTGCACTCTTCTTAAGTGCTCTTTTAAACATGCTCTTAGTCTCCTTGGATCAGTATTTCACATTTTTCTAGCGTAAAATAATGTGTAAATTTGGAAATGTACTTAATAAATAAACTACACCTCTGTTTCCATTGAGGCATTTAGGCTCTGGGGCTCTCTCTGCTGTGGGTAACGGGAATGAACAATGGGAAATTTGGACAAATTAAGTCTTTACAGATGTGTTTGTTGTGAACACAATTTGACTGTAGAATAAATCTGGAGAATGTTTATGGGATTAAAAAATGCGTCAGATTGCCAGTTTGGACAGTTTTTATTTTATCTCTGACACAACAATCTGGGCAAAATGAAAAGATTAAAAGCTCAAAAAAGTAAATTCTGCATAATAAATCATCTTTAAGTTTGACCGTGGTATTTGTTACAACCACCACTGATCCTAAACTACTGCCGTTTTTGTAAAATTAAAAGCACTTTCCTCTTTGTAAGAAGCTTCAACACATGCCTAGACTGTTACCTCTGTTCCTTATCTTGACTATTTTGACTCTTTGGCAGCTAAACAAAGCTTGATGTTACTGAGTTCTGCTTGGATGATGATGATTCAGTGTCTGTGTATTTCCATCACTGACTGATTTGACTTAAACAAGCGTCAGAGTGAAGCTGCAGTTTTCAGGCGATCACAGTCTGCCTTTGAGCTTCAATTCAGACATTTTCATTTGCACAGTTTACTTAGTTCATAGTACAACTCACAGTCTACATTTTATATTTTTTTATTAATAATTACATGGGATGGTACAAGATCTCGTGAGACAAAATTACCACAAGATCGTGCACATGTGAGGAAATTTATCTTGTGAGATTTTTTTCCCCAAGTGTTTATGTTCGGATTGGGGGAAAAAAGGTCACGTGTTGGTGACTTACAACTCTTAAACAGTTCCAAAAGCAATACTGGAATGGAAACAAAAATATGAAATCAAATAATTACAAATCACAAAATGTAGCAGGAATTACCGGTATGTTAAATTCTCGTCTTGTTCTCATGGACCCAATCTCATATTTTGTCTCGTCTTGTGGAAATAGTATTCAGTGTAACTAATAATCATCATATCATCAACACTGAAAATTTCACATTTACACAGACACTTTGCCACAGAAAACCATTACCACTGCTGTGAAAAAGGTCTATTAGCCGTTGTTTATAATATGGTTGCTACGTTACACTTACGGAATTGGCTCTATGTACCATATTTTCCGGACTATAAGGCTACGTTCAGACTGCAGCCTGAAGTGACCCAAATCCGATTTTTTTGACCCCTATGTGACCTGTATCTGATCTTTTTAATGACAGTCTGAACAACACAGATCAGATTTTTTTCCAAATGTGACCCAGGCCACTTGGATATGTGCTCCTAAAACCGACACATATCTGATCTTTTAACATGCGACTTCAGTCTGAACGGCCAAAGTGCATCCATCCGTCCTACACGTTATCAACAAGCCACAAGCGTCACTATTCTGTGCTGAAGTCGGCGAAAATTGTTAACGAACTCCGTGTCACTGAAGCGAAGCACATCGCCACTCACCACTCTTGGCTACGTCTGCACATCCACATGTTCTTTTCAACCAACGTCGCTGCCGCTGCCCCACAAAACGCCACGGCCATGGCTGGCTCCGGTACGAGAGGAACTTTAAAATCTCCAGGTGCTCAATGCTCGCGTCCACGTTTGGACAACTTCCGTAAACACTGAGCACACTCGCTGTGGTTGATGTCATCGTGTCCTCCAGTGCACATGAGGGACACTTTTGGGTCTTTTAATGTTCACAATGTAGTTCACGTACAAGTCGCATTTAATTGGAAATGTGAACGACCTCACAAAAACATCGAATTTCCCCAAAAAATCGGAATTGAGCGTTAAGCCCTGCAGTCTGAAAGTAGCCTAAGTCGCACCGGAGTATAAGTCACAGGAAACACCCAAACCATGAAAAAAGCGCGACTTATAGTCTGAAAAATATGGTATATGGCGTATCCGCTGCCTGTATCCAACCACAAACTTCAAATGCTAAACTTCATAATCAAAAACTTACAAAACGTTGCTATGCTGTTGAGGCAGACCTTTGCCTGGATCATACTGCCATCGTGTCCTCGGGCAAGACACTTCACCGGTCTGTTCTCTGGTGCGTTTAATACATACACGTTTATAGTTGTGCGTGTTTGAGCGTGGGATAACACTCCAGCTACACTATGGATTCCAACACATACGAGTGGAATGTGCTGTCTCCTCTCCAAACGAACAAAAATAATCGGAATAACGTTTGAGCGAAAACTGAAGTAGAATCTGCAGAACTAAAACAAGAATCACAGGTATTTCAGAAAATGTATGTAGAAGTTTAAACGACAGGGTTAGCCGCTTTTACACAGAATAAGATCTCGTTTTGTTGCATGTCATGTGCAGAAGACGTTATATTTGGTGTGGAATTGTAGCCTGCTGTTTGGTTGGACTGTCTGTGTTTATACTCATTTTGTTGTGACTGATAAGAGTTCTGTTGTGGCATTTGGAGTTTGGTAATTTTTTTTTAATCTGTTCCACTAAAACACACCCTTCTGACCTTTGTTTCTGCTTTTATATTGATTATATGGATTAGTTTAAGATGAAATGTGTAGACAAACGTTATTTATCTCAAAAAACTGCAGAGTTGGCGATGTTTTAGTTTAACTTAAAGGTGCCATCGGTGATTTAGATTTTTTTTTCCCAATAGTAGCCTTGAAACCTGTGCCGTCCTGACCTGATCTGTGCTCTCTGGTCTTTTTTCTGTCAGACCAAAGCTGGTTCACGTACAGACAGTAATAACGTAGATGACATCTAGTGGTGAAGAATGAGAATACATGAGAAACAGGGGCGGGTCGGCCAGTCTGAGTATAGATGGTAGCTTTAATCACACTTTAATCTGTCTTTCTGTCTCTTTTTCTTTTTTTTTCTTTCTCTGCCTTTCCTTCTTTCCATCTTTCTTTGTCTTTCTTTCTTTCTGTCTTTTGTTTCCCTGTTACTTTTTTCTGTCTGTCATTCTTTCTTTCTGTCTTTCTTTCTGTCTTTCTGTCTGTCTTTCTGTATTTCTATATTTCTTTCTGTCTTTCTTTGTATTTCTTGCTTGCCATCTTTCTAGCTGTCGTTCTTTTCTATCCTTTGTATGTCTATCTTTCTTTCTGTTTTTGTTTCCCTCTTTTTCTGTCTCTCTGTCATTCTTTTTCTTTCTTTCTTTCTGTCTTTCTTTCTTTCTTTGTCAGGGAGCATGTACCAAATACAAATGCATTAATCTTACAGAAGATTTAGCTGCTGCTTTTTTCCACCTGCAGTTCCCGTACTTATTAAAAATACAGATTTCATTACATTTACAAGTTTGTTTGTTTTTTTTTTCTTTTTGACAGACCCAAGCTTAGAATAAAATTTAAGAGCACGTGAGATTAACAATAACTACTTTGAAATAAAATGTGTTTAAACTGTCAAACATCAGGTTATTGGGCAAAAACTATGGACAATTACTAATAATAAAACCCAACTTATTCTGCCGTTAAGTCAGTAAAAATAGAAAATAAAATATGTGTTCCTTTTTGCATGGCTTCCCAGTTTATACAGCTGCTATTTTTAACCCACTGCTTTTCAAAGTATTTTCTATTTTAGGTCAAAGTTGCCTGTGACCCGCCACACGACGCTGCTCTGTGGTGATTCAGCTCGTGGTGTTTTTAAATGGTGCAAAGACGTGTACTTGTGTCTTGTTGTACTGCAGTAAGCTGTTCCCATTGTCACGTGCTGTCTGCTGTTGTGTCTCTAGATATCAGTCAGCCACTGCCACTTGGGACGACATTACCCATACCGAAGCGTGAGTCCACATTCATTTACTATGAGGAATAAGCTGTGTTCATGTGTCTTTTTACAAACTGCGCCGGTGCTTTTGGAGCTAACCATGTTTGTGTACGATGTGTTTTCTGCTCAGATGGCCCAGATTTGTCCAAACTCGGTGGATCAGAGTCAGACCGATCCTCTAAATAACCTCCACCCAACCAGTGATTTCACAAAAAAAACTATTTTGGCTCAGAAATATCCAGTTTAGTTTCACAGATTTTCCATAATTTTAATTACTGCAGGTTGTCCCTTGATATTATGATACAGTACATGCCCCCACGTATTACCAGTTTGCAAATCCACTTAAATATCTACAGTCACAGTCAAACATGTGAGTCACAGCCACATTCTGAAGCAGTGTTGGCGACACCAAAATAGGGCGTGAAAAAAAAAAAAAAAAAAGAATATACCTAAGGCTGCTTAAAGGTGGCGCTTATAATATTTGCTCGACTAAATAAATGAACACTTTACTGGAGAACATCTGTGTTTAGAAAGGGACGTGTTAAATATTAATACATTACCACAAACTGAAGTCATCTACCGTATTTTCCGGACTGTTGGGCGTTTTCTTAAGCGTCCGACCGCATCAAAAAGCGTCTGTACGCCGCACAATCCAGAGTGCACTATACACGAATCCACTCGGGTGTCTCAGCACGACTTCAGTAAACGCAAACACACACGGAGCAGACGAAAAGCACCCACGGACACACTCATCACTCCACACCAAAGAGGAACGGAATGGAGGAACGAACCGAAAAAGCGAGTGCAATGTGCCACTACTAGACACAACTGAACAACTGAGTCACCGCGAACATGCCGACAATCCAGCGGTCCCAGACAGCACCCTCCCTACACGCCACAACTGAACAAAGCCCAGAGTCACCGTGAATGCACCAAACAAAGTCCCACTGACCCATCCAACTGTTGTGTTTCGGTGAGGTACATATAAAATCAGTTGGATAGTCTTTACGTTAATACATTTCATTTGAACACATTCAATTTATAGGTTACGCTTTTAATCAAAGTTGGCATTAGAGGTCCCGCCCGCAAAGAATTGTAATTTTCAGGCCCGCTCCCTCCCGCATCTGCGATATTTTGTCCCTCTCCTGGCTGCAAATCCCGAAGTGGAGATGGAGACGTTCGCTCTCTTAAACTCTATCAAACATGGAGAAGTGGAAAGGAATTGTCTAAAATGTGCGCGAGATTAGACCATACATGCAAATTTACGCTGCTTAAAATGTTTTTATTAATGCCAAATAAAATATCCAGCACAAATTATACATGACATACTTACATAAAGCATTTGTATATTTTAATTTACACTTATATTTTGATTGTGTGACTGCAGTTTATCATCCCACCCGCGCCCACAATGAGCTTTCAAAATTCCTCCCGTTCCGCACTGTTTTGCATCTGTACTAAAACAAGACTCTAGTTGACATTAGCCTCGAGAATTGTAAGCTGCTGCTGCTGTGCACGGCGGCTAATACCCAGAATTTACACCAGCAGCTTCAGCATCACGTAACATGGGCAGAGCTGTTTTTAAAAGTAATAATTTACACCAGAGACCTCTGTATATTCACATTTAAAACCCCAAACTTTTATATTGCCACAAATTCATTCTTGATTGGATGAATTACGTTTTAAACCACAATACAAAAGTCGCCAAACCTTCTCCATGATTAAAGCGACGCTCCACTGACGCCGAAAAATCAGACCTTGAGCTTCATTTGCGCGATGTTAGACGCGCTCAGCCACAATCTGTCTGCTTCCCCTTAAAACCGAGGGACTGTTTACACGAGAACACTTGCAGGTAAAAATGACAAAATATTTTATCGGAAGTGCCTTTTGTTTAGACGGCGACGGTGTTTTTGTGCTTAAAAACGCAAAAATCTGATGGGTTTCTATTTGGGTTTAGAGATCGTTTGATAGAATAATTGAAATCATGATCAAAATTCAATTAAATTAAATTCAGCTTTACATGAAGGAGCGGTGCAAGGACCACAGAAGTTCAAATGATTTCATATTGTCAAAAATTTTACTTGTAGACTAAGGGCCTGTTTAAACAAGAACACTTGCAGGTTATAACGACAAAATATTTTATCGGAAGTGCCTTTCGTTTAGATGGTGACGGTGGTTTTGGGGCTTAAAAACTCAAAAATCTGAAACCACCCTCCAGAGTGGAAAACTTGAATACCCTCCATCATAGTGTTTCCGTATAAACTGCCCAAGACGCAAAACTCTGGTCAGATCTGCTCATGTCGCGTACACGTTTGTCACATACGCCATGCATACCCAGTCGAATTCCACACACTTGCATCACCGTATGCACGCAGATTTCCTCCTGAAAACGCTCGTCTAAATGCGGAATAAAAAGCGAAGATGCGACGCCACTTTCCACGCCACGTCATCATATAAATGTAGCCTTTGAAGGAAATCAGCTGCAGTGCAAACATTTATATCACAATGTTCCATGTTTCATAAAATCAAATATTTCCCTGCGCCAAAACCAACACTCCCCCTTTTATTATATTTATACAAGAAATGTAGAGGAAATTGTCGGACAATCCAGACCAAGGCCATTTTTACGAGGTTTTGTTTTTCTTTCCTGTGAGTCTGATACTTGAGGGTTTTAACAGCACGTCTGACTTTTCTTTTGTTTGTGTATAAATAAAAAAGGTGCATTTCTCTGGATGTGTTTATGAAGGACTGTCTTTAAAGTGTCTGGGGCATCTTTTCTTTTCTCCTGTGCGTTCATCCTTCACAACATTCATACTAAATTTGAGGGTTTCTATGTTCAGTTCAGATTCTTCTACCATCGGCCTCTTTTGAAACTGCACTAAACTCTAAAACGGCGACTTTTTGGGTGCACTTCACTAACTCTGTAACACAAAATAATGGATTCTAACAGGTTTGACTCGTTTGGACTCTCTTATACACTCGCTTTTTTACATTTACTATGCGACTTTTTAGCTGGAGGGTACGAAACCTGCTCATCTCCATGGACATGTTATTGCTTTATCAGGAATCTTTCACCGTATGGCATTAATCTCCACAGATCTGACTTGTCTCTTGGCCTCATTTTCTTGTTTCCATAGCGATAAGTTTAATGCCATACTGCGAAACTTTGCAAACAAAACGATAACATCATCATGGAGAAGGAATTCAAAGTGAAACTCATATTGGACAAGAAAAAAACAAACAGAAAATCTTCTTTTTTCAGTTTCACTTTTTAATTCAACCGCTGCAATATTGACACTTTTCTGCAATATGGCTTTAATTTTGACACTGAAGGTAAAAGATGCACCAATCCAGTAATCACAGGCAAGAGATTTTTCAAGTATGATCCAGATTTTTGTATTATCAACTTAGATCTGATCCAATTTTATTTATTTATTTATTTGTTTATTTATTTATATGAATGGTCGTGTGTGTGGATTGGTGCATCTCTGCCGTGGGGTTTTACTACGTTTATTTAATGTGTACTCTTCTTTCTTTGTCCCTTCTGTCATCTCATCGTCACTTCTTACTCCTGTACTCTCTGTATCTGCTGCGGCTGCATCCCAAACCTGTCCTGTCCTGCTCCCTCTACTACTGTCCTCTCCTCTGTTCTTTTTCCTTTCCTCTGTCCTCTTTCCTTTCCTCTGTCCTCTTTCCTTTCCTCTGTCCTCTCTCCTCTTCTTTCCTCTCTTCTCTCTCTGTCCTCACCTCTTTTCTCTGTCCTCTCCTCTTTCCTGTCCTCTTTCCTTTCCTTTGACCTCTCCTCTTTCATTTCCTATGTCCTTTCCTCGTCTCACTCCTCTGTCCTCTCTTCTCACTCCTTTCTTTTCTCTCCTTTGTCCTCTTTCCTTTCCTCTCCTTTCCTTTTTATGTCCTATATCCTTTGCTCTCTCCTCACTTTCCTCTGTCCTCTCCTTTATCCTCTCTCCTCTTTCTGTCCTCTTTCTTTTCCTATGTCCTTTCCTCTCCTCACTCCTTTGTCCTTTCTCCTCACTCCTTTCTTTTCCCTCCTTTGTCCTCTCTCCTCTCTGTCATCTGTCCTCTCCTCTGTCCTCTTTCCTTTCCTCTGTCCTCTCCTCTCCTCACTCCACTGTCCTCTCCTCTCCCATCTCCTTTCTTTTCTTTCCTCTCACCTCACTCCTTTCTTTCCTCTCCTTTGTTCTCTTTCCTTCCCTGTGTCCTAATATCCTTTCCTCTCTCATCTCTCTCCTCTGTCCTCTCCTCTATCCCCTCTCTTCACTCCTCTGTCCTTTACTATGTCCTATGTTCTTTCCTCTCCTCACTCCTCTGTCCTCTCTCCTCACTCCTTTGCCCTTTCCTATGTCCTATGTCCTTTCCTTACTCCTATGTCCTTTCCTTACTCCTCTGTCTTCTCACCTCACTCCTCTCTCCTGTCCTCTGTCGTTTCCTGTGTCCTATATCCTGTCTTCTCTCCTTTGTCCCCCCTGTCCCACATGCAGGTATAAGAAGACCCAGGAGACGCTCTCTCAGGCGGGACAGAAGACCACCGCAGCTCTGTCCACGATGAGCACCGCCATCAGGAAGGGACTCGGAGACATGAGGTAAGAGAGAAAACACCACCGTAAGAAACTGAGCACACTAGATCCAGAACCAGAGACGGGGCGCTCGGACTACTGAACCCAACTGAAATCTGGTGAAACTTTATCATTTATTTACATATTTGTCCCACTGAAATCCTGCCAAAATCACCAAGCATTAAAAATATCGACCATGAATACACACATAAATATAAAAAAACTGATTTTGACCTCTATTTCCAATATTTTATTTCAAGTTTATTTCAAAAAACAGTGTCGGTACCGATTCAATTCAGTTTTGATATTTTATTCTCTCTGGTTTAATTGTCGGAGAAGTTCGGCTGTTTATTGTGCCGCGCGTGAATTCAGAGTCGACTGAACAAAGGAGAATTTATCGCTGCTTCATGTTTCTCGTCATGGATCAACGGCGACTTTCTAAGTAGGCTTAAACCAGGACTTGAACCAGGACTTGAACCAGGACTTGAACCAGGACTTGAACCAGGACTTGAACCAGGACTTGAACCAGGACTTGAACCAGGACTGAAGCCAGGACTGAAGCCAGGACTGAAGCCAGGACTGAAGCCAGGACTGAAGCCAGGACTGATCCAGGATTCAAACCAGGACTTAAATCAGGGTTAAAAGAGGACTGAACTCCGTGTCACCTGAACAAAGAAGTTCAACAAAAACTTTCTAAGACGTGAAAGTAAATGCGTCGCTGGGGCAGGGATCAAATTGGTCAAAAATAGGGACAACTGGTCAACTTTCTTGTATAAAACTGGAACAAATCAGTGGTTTTGGATAAATCCGCTGGGACACGGGACACAGGACTCAAAACTGGGACTGTCCCGTGTAAACAGAAACGTCTCGTCACGCTAAACATTCAAAACAAAAAATGTGTAACTTCTTTTGCGTCATATTTTTTTTGCTGCTTTGCTTTGATTCTCAGTCGACTCTGATTGGCTAAACCTTGTAGAATTTGCACAGGTCTTGGCTTTTAGTGGCACTAATATGTGAATAATGATGCTGTAAATGTAGTTGTTGCCTAAACGTTACAAGAGCTGGCCCCTATGACACAGGAAATTAGGTAATAGTCATTTGTCATTGTTAAACAGGCATCCACACACACACACTCCTGATCTTATCCTGATCTCGTGTGTTCTGTGTAAACACCAACATAATCATAGCATTTGTTGTGGTCCCGTTCACACTGCACAGTCTCATATTAACACTTTACAGGAGAGAGTGTGTGTGGTAAAGGTTTGTTTTTTGGGTTTTGTTAACGCACTTTGACGATAACCTGATTCTGCTGCTGCTTTTGGCTCATGTGCTTCTCTCTCTCCTTGAATCGCTGCCTTGGTTTGATCTGCAGAGCGCTCCCTTTCTCTAACTCTTTTAGGTAAGAGGCTCACCTGGGTTCACCTGGGTTTACCTTGACTCACCTGGGCTCACCTGGGCTCACCTGGTCACATGAGAGCGTCCTCACACCTGAACTGAACTATGTTTTTAATGTTTTATTCTTATATTTTTTTTCTTAAATGTGTTAAAACTTCACAAACATTTAATCATTTCTAATAATAATCTATAAAGAATATTTTTTGTGTTAAATTGCTCTTATGAAATATTCCGTATTATTTATGTTCAGGAAATTCATATTGAGAGTACCATATTTTTCGAACTGCAAGTCGCTCTAGAGTATAAGTCACGCCAGCCAAAAAATGCATAATGATGGAAGAAAAAAAAATACATAAATAAGTCACATCGGACTATAAGTCGCAGTTTTTAGGGGAAATTTATTTGATAAAATCAGAGACCAGGAACCGACATTTCATCTTGAATGTCAAGTTCTAGTAAAAACAATAGAAGAGAGACCAACAGACTGTTAATGTCACGTATTTCACAGTTCTTCAGATAAACTATAACATAAACAACAGAACAGAACAAGTTTACCAAACTCTCCATCTCACTCCAAATCACTAAATCCATTCAATTCTTCATCCTCTGTGTCACTTCCGGAGGTAAACGGAGCGTCGCTTCCTCTTCTGTGTAGCTGTCGTCAGACTCAGCATCAGTTCCAGTTAGAATTTTCCGGCCTGTCTGAATCCCGACAGGATGGTTTTAGTTGTCTTTATGTTTGTTTAAATTTTAAGTTGTCAGTGATACAAAAATAATGTTCGACTGACATGATACAGACAGGACAGAGGCTCTTTCTCTCTTTTCTGCAACTGTCATGCTCCCTCTCCTGGCTGTCAGTGTGACAATATTAACATATAAGTTGCAGGAAACGCCCAAACCATAAAAAAAGTGCCACTTATAGTCTGAAAAATACGGAGTTTTTGAGTTTCAGTCATTATTATTGAACATTGTTCTCTGTAAGCAAGACAAAAAACATAATTATAATGCTTAATTAACATACAGCATGTTTATTAGGGATGCACTCATGAGAAAAATGATCTCATGAGATTTTTTCCAGTGTCATCACATTTGAATTGGACAAAAATGGGTCACGTATCACCTTAGTTCAGTAGTAGTTTATTTGGTCATTTTGCAGCACTACAAAACAAAACATAGACTAAGTCAAAAGCTTTCAATCAGCTGTTTTTAATATTAAACATACAGTGTCACTGTAGCCTGATCTAAATTAGACTCTCATTTAGTGTCTCTGGTGTGAAGTCGCTCTGATCTGAACAGGCTGTGCCCAGTTCAAAAGCTTTCCACTTGGTGATTTTAGATAATATACTGTACAATAGAAGTGTATTTATTATTTATAGTATTTAATGTTGCGAAATGACACCTGTTCTCAGTCTTATCCTTCGTCCCCTGTAGTTTTTGTGATCATTATAACTATTCTGAAAACCTAAAATGACAGAAATGACCCTGAACCTGATTTGCTTGTTGCTTTTTGCATTTAACACCTGCACCTCTCTCTCTGTCTCTTTAACGCTTCCAAAGTAGCAACTATTCCATCCGCCACTCCATAAGTATGCCCGCCATGAGGTAAAGTATGTCCACTCTGTCTGTACTCTTCAGATAATGCATGGGGTGAACTGTATGTGTGTTTATGTGTGTTTATGTGTGGAGTGTAGATGTGTAAAAACATGGATAGTACCGTCCTGTGTCAGTATTGGTGCATGTTGTTGTGGTTGTGTGTGTGTAGTTTGTCTATGGGAATTTAAAATGAGTGTTTGTGTTACAGAAACTCGGCCACTTTCAAGTCCTTCGAAGACAAAATGGGCAACCTGAAGGTAAAACTAGAACACGTGTCAATCAGCACCTTTTTGAGTATCCTGTGAGTGTTCATGTAAACACACTGTTCTGACATCAGCATCGTGGATATGCCAGTATTCCGATTATGAGAGAGCAGGAGACCCTCACTGGGTTTTTCTGAGAGTTGTCAGGAGACTGTGGCCTGTAGACGCAGTTGGGGCTGTCGCGGTTACAGAATTTTTCCTGCGGTGCGGTATAGCGGCTTAACATCGCAGTATGTGGTGATATCGCACCCCCTCCCCACATCCCCTGGAGTTATAATATTTCCAGTGGCTCTGAAAACTCTGATGCGCTTGTTGTTGATGCACTTGTACCTGGTTTGTTGTGTGGATATGGTGTGTGTTACGTGGGAGAAGTAACATTTGGCTTTGGAACAAGTGCCGCTGCATCTCTCCAGCTCTCACTGCGCCAGGTCGGGTCAGAGTCCTGCGCCAGGTCGGGTCAGAGTCCTGCGCCAGGTCGGGTCAGAGTCCTGCGCCAGGTCGGGTCAGAGTCCTGCGCCAGGTCGGGTCAGAGTCCTGCGCCAGGTCGGGTCAGAGTCCTGCGCCAGGTCGGGTACCCTCGGACTTGAGAGAGAGAAAACCCCAAGCATGCGAAGCAGGTTTCTGCAAAGCGCGATCGGGTGACTGCTGCGTCCTTTTCGCCTGCGGTAACCTGACAGTCTACGTGGGCGCAACTGAGTCCTGGGTTTGTCCTGGGTTTGTCCTGGGTTTGTCCTGGGTTTGTCCTGGGTTTGTCCTGGGTTTGTCCTGGGTTTGTCCTGGGTTTGTGCTGGGTTAGTCCTGGGTTAGTCCTGGGTGTTAACGGGTCTGGGCGGGTGTGGGTCTCTAAAAATGGACCTGTGCAGGACTCTGGGTTGGGTCACGTTTGCCACGTGCAGTGATTGTGGTGGCCCAACATGCACCGTGGTGGGCCTCTTAGTACTGCGGCGATTCATTTTTGTGGTTATTGCGACAGCCCTAGACGCAGTATCCTGATTTCTCAAACCTGTGCTGTACTGAGCATGTGTGAACTCGAGTAACAAAAACAGTAGGAGCAGCAACTTCCCCAAAATGACCAAAACTCCTAACAGGACTTTTCAGGTAATAATATTTTATACTTAAAAACAAAATAAAGCAGTTGGCTGTTTAATACAACCACTTTTTAACAGCGGGGGTCACCTCTGTGTCTGTCTGTGTTGCTCTTAAACTAAACAGACACTCTGAGACACTGATGTATTTTTCAACAGTTAAAACCACATTTTACTGAAGCTGTGACAGAGCTCCACAGTCAGTGTTTGCTGTTAAGTCTTTAGCAAAGTTCCTAACTTGCCACCATAGACTGTGTATATATAAATGCCAGCAAAAGGCGAAAATGAGGACTGCGTTGTGACGACCATAGTTTTGCGAGGATTCACGTGGTTCAGAGGGATGTAGCTAAGGTCGGGGGCAATTTTTGTCAAGACGTCCAGCCAAACTATAAAGCACTGTGGGAAACACTGCCCCAGTCACGGACGAGTTTCCTCATGAATAATAAAGAGCTGAGCCTCCGTGTAGCTGCACATGTAGTGATGGAACGTAAACACACACAAATTGCGCGAACTCAGCCCTGCACCGAACCAAACGTCCCGTACCGGAAACGGTCTGCGTGAACACATGTACCATTATACCAGAATCAGAACACTCTCAGAACCAGGATAAGACTCTTGACTGTACACACTGGTGCGCCTTGAATTCTGAATTAAAGGACGCAGAAACACCACAAAACTGTTATTGTCCTGAAAGAGCACAGAGCAGGAACTGGGCTTGTTTTTATATTTATCTATAATGACAAAGCACAATAAAAAACAGTTAAGTAAAAGATCTAACTATAGTTACAAGTCTGAACAAAGACTCTTTAGTGCTGAGGTCAACTCTTTGTTCAGACTCGCTTTTATTTATTATTTAGCTCTTGTGTTAAATGTATTTTGTGTATCAGCTGCTTACAATGTTGGGCCTGTATACACCCAGTCGAACGCTTAGGAACACCTGCTCATTTATTGTTGTTTTGTCACAGTAAAGCTAAATCTATATGTTGATATTTCCAGACTATTGAGCGTACCTGAATAAAAGCCACATCAGCTACATTAAAAAAAAAAAGTACAAGCTCCTTTTTTGCCTTTTTTAACTTTTTAGCACACTTCTGTAAAACTAAGAACTTTGTGCTGTTTCTGTATTTATTTTATTTGTTTTCCTGTGATATTGATTTATTGTATCAGCCAATATTTTCTCTTTTTAATTGTGTTCTTTGTACACAGAGTCTTTGAGTGTTTAGAAAAGTACTATATTAATAAAATGTAGTAGTAGGAGTAGTAGGTAGCATTGATAGTAAGTATGTAGTATTAGTAGAGGTAGTAGTAGGTAGTGGTAGTATTATTAGTAGTCGTATTAGGAGTAGGAGTAGTAGTAGGTGGTAGTAGTAGCCAGTAATATTGGTTGTAGGTGGTAGTGGTAGTGGTAGTAGTAGTAGAGGTAGTAGAGGTGGTAGGAGGTGGTAGTAGTAGGTGGTAGTGGTAGGAGTTGGTAGGTAGTAATAGTAGTTGGTAGGTAGTAATAGTAGATGGTAGGTAGTAATAGTAGATGGTAGGTGGTAGGTAGTAGTAGGAGTAGTGGTAGGAGGTAGTAGTACTAGTATTAGTAGTAGTAGTAGATGATGGTAGGTGGTAGGAGGTAGTAGGTGGTAGTCGTATTAGGTAGTCGTATTAGGTGGTAGTAGTAGGTAGAAGGCAGTAGTACTAGGTAATAGTGGTAGGTAGAAGGTAGGAGGCGGTAGTAGTAGGTAGAAGGTAGGAGGCAGTAGTAGTAGGTAGTAGGTTGGAGGCAGTAGTAGTAGGTAGTAGTATTGGGTAGTGGTAGTATTAGGTGGTAGGAGGTCGTAGTAGTAGATATTATATAGTAGAGGTAGTAGTGCTAGTGTTGGTAGTAGGTAGTAAGTATGTCAGTAGTAGTAGAGGTAGTTGTAGTAGGTAGTAGTAGGGCTAGTATTGGTAGTAAGTATGTAGCAGTGGTAGCAGGAGGTGGTAGCGGTTGTAGGTAGTAAGTATGTGATATTAGTAGAGGTAGTAATTGGTAGTAGGTTGTGGTAGTGTTATTATTATTAGTAGTACTAGTAGTATTAGTTGTATTCTTAGTAGAGGTAGTAGGTAATGGTAGTAGTATTATCATTAGTATTAGTAGTACTCATATTGTGACGTCTTGTCCCGCTCTAAACGTTTCCTCTATCTTGTTTGTTCCAGTACAAAGTCGTCGGCCCCAAGGGCAACGGTGAGGCCACAAGCGAGACCGAGACCACTCCCACTCAGGAAAACCCGCCCTTCTGAACCGGACCCCGCTCGGACTGTACTGTTCTCACCTCTGACCTCTGACCTCCGACCTCTCACTCCTCCCACTCCTCTTCCTCCTCCTCGCTTTAACCACGCCCCCGGCCGACACCACGCCACGTACGCACCACCGGGGGGAGCTGTCCGTGAGGGTCTCGGCTCTGGACCCTCGGGCCCGGTTCCTGTTCCAGCTCTGCTCAGTGAATACAAACGGCATTATCTCACATTGTCAAATCATACGGGGCATCTGATTTAATTTTAACGGGATTTAACGGGGAACGACGACAGCCAGTCTGCATCAAAACTGTAGAGCTGTGGTTTATAGCGGATTCAGGAGCCAAAAATTAACAACAAAAATAGATTCAACTAGTATTTTTAGGGCTTTATTTTTTTGTTTTGAATTGTCCAAAATGTGAACTCAAGTCTAAAATCTGAATAAATCTCAAATCTGGTGCACTGCGGAACATTTCTAGTGGAGGGTCCACCGATTGCCTGTCTCCATGGAGTTTTTAATTTATTATTTTTTAACTAGATTAAACCGGAAAACGAGCAGGTTACAGCACTACTCTACATTACGGTTCAGATCTGTGGAGAGTGAGTCAAACCTATTCACAGAAGGAATTATTGTAATTGAGGATTTTGGATTTAATTTCATACCGTGGAACATTCCAGAGACGGCAATAACATCCACATGGAGACGAGCAATTAGTGGACCCCTAGACACCTTTTAAAGTTTTTGTTGTTTTTTAGACTACCGTATTTTCCGGACTATAAGTCGCACCAGACTATAAGTCTCACCAGCCAAAAAATGCATAATGAAGAATGAAAAAAACATATATAAGTGGCATTTTTGGGGGAAATTTAGTTTATAAAATCAGAGATCAAGAACCGACATTTCATCTTAAAGTCAAGTTCTAGTAAAAACAATAGAATAGAGAACAACAGACTGTTAACGTCACATATGAACAGTTCTTAAGATAACTATAATATAAACAACAGAACAAGTTTACCAAACTCTCAATCTCACTCCAAATCACTAAATCCATTCAATTCTTCATCCACGGTGTCACTTCTGAGCAACTCCAGCTAAATCTAGCTTTGAGACTGTGATTAGGTTTTTTTGTTTTCTTCATTGCAGTTAGAGCAGAGGTCTCAAACTCAAATTCACAGTGGCCAAAATTAAAAACTGGGAGTACATCATGGGCGAAACTAAATATTTATTGAAAAATTTCAACAACATCTGCATGTTTTCTCTTCTTTTGAGAAATGTAATGTTAAACCTTTTCTTATTAAAATAAATGTTTAATAAGAGTTTTGCTTAAAAAGTGAATCCAAAACAAGCAAAATATAAAATAATAACTACGTTTTAAATGTCTCTATAGTCTATTTGTAACCGGTGGGCAGCTCTAATACATATTTGATATGATCTCGTGGGCCAAATTTGGTCCCTGGGCCCGAGTTTGACATGTCTGAGTTAAAGTATCCACCACTTTTTCCCAGTCCCTCACAAATTTCTCGTTTACTCCAAAATTACCATTTTTGGCTGAATATTTCACAACTTTCAGCAGGACAGAGGCTCTTTCTGCAGGAGACATGCGCAGTAGAGCAAAGTGACAGTGGTACAGGAGGAACAGGAGCAGCAGATACTGACACACAAGACTAGAGCGCCCTCTGTTGGCCGTCAGTGTGAAAATAACAACCATGCAAAATGATATATTTTAATATATAAGTCGCACCTGAGTACAAGCTGTAGAACCACCCAAACTATGAAAAAAGTGAGACTTATAGTCCAAAAAATACGGTACTTATTTCACTAAAACATTTATATTTAAGATTTCCCTAAAAAATCTGAAGTAAAAACAAAACAAATAACAAAATTGGCCCCGCTTCCTATTAATTTACACTAGAGGGGTCAGGCTTCTTACACTGGGCCCCCAAATTTCTGTCAACGGCCCTGCTGTTAAGTACCAATAATATATTAACAAGAGCCAAAACTTGTCTAAATTTCACTAATTTCACTTAAACTAATAAAAATGAATTACGATGCCTTTATTTTGTTAAATGGAGGTTTAAAGTGACACAAAAATGCCAAAAAAAAATAGAAATGAAACTGGAAATACCTGGAATTTGGAATTTTTTTGGTGTAAATTCACTACAGAAAAATAATCTATTGTTTATTCTACACAATGGAATCTGCTATAAAGCTCTCTACGGAACTTTTTTTTTTTTTCATTTAATTGTCTTTGCTCTCCACACTGTGAACACTTTACTCCTAAATACTCCTAAACACAGGCCTATTACTACAACTACTACAAATATTACTACAATACTGCATGTACATATGACATCTCAGCTGTACCAACCACAAACTACTCAGAAACCCCAACCCGGATGTGAAGAAAATCCATTTTGTATTATAAACTATTTTACACTGCTTTGCATAATGTTTTTACATAACTTTTAACGATATGTACAAATATAAAAATGATGCTCTATTGTCACCATTGCTGCGAGCGAGGTTAGGGTTAGGATAGCAACATTTACGCTATGTTTGAGTACACGTGTTTGGTTACTTATACAGTACTGTGCAAAAAAATAGAATAAAATAAAGATTGTACACTACAGATGCAAAGATGAATGTGTTTTACAGCTAATCCTGATTATACTGAGCTATTTTCTGATCTGTTATGTTTTTTACAGTGTTTTTCATCACAAACACATCTGGAGTTGTTTTGTTTCATTCACACACGTTTGATGCAAAAATCAGCATATTTAAGCCGAGTTTTTCTTCTCTCAAGTGGAAAATACGCTGTTCCACCTTGTGATGTCACACGGTAATACTGTATTCGGTAATGGAGCCCTACAGCGCAGAGTCCAGTACGGGTCCCATTTCTGGAGACCCACACCCGCCCGTTAACCCGAGATTATATCAAACTTTTCTGCTGCCTACGCCACGGACTGAACCAAGACTAAACCAGGACTAACCTAGGATTGATTTCAGGACTGAACTAGGACTAAAACAGCACTCGCTGTCGGGACGGGCTCGGAGGTGACCGCAGGAGAAAGGACCGGCTCAGCTCTGCATTTCATGAATATAAACGTGGTCGTTACCCGATCACACTTTACAGATGCCCTGCTTCGGTGTTCTCTCTCTTAAATCCAAGATTAGACCTGGTTTTAGTCCTGGTTTTAGTCCTAGTTTAGTCCTGACCTGCCTGTGTGAAATCACTACCCGCCCGTAAAATTCCAGAATGTTAAAACCCGCCCATTTTAGCAACTATTTGCCCGTAGGTACCTGACCTGGAGCAGGACTCTGCCACAGCCGCGTAACTTCTCCCTTTCTTCAGCGTGTCCAGAAGTCCAACTTTTTGTGTGATGGTTACATCTTCCTCTGCCATTTGGGTGCGACCGCAGGAGCCTTTGTCGGTGCAGAACGTTTCGTCGACATTGTGGGTTTTGACGGGAAAAAAACTTCTTCAGAATCTCACTGATGGAGATCGAACATTTATATAAATTTGGCGAACTGAACACATTCTGTACTGTACAGGAGACATGGCACGGAGGAGACTGATTGACGATGTACAGTTTCTTAGCCAATCAGGACACAATACGCACTCATACACTGTAAAAAAAAAAAAAGTATGCAAAATTGTACTAAAAAAATCCATGAAACGGCGAGACCGTGAAAGGTGAACCACGATAGATTGAGGGACAACTGTACAGGAAGTGCTCCGTACATCTTCACGAGAAACATTTAGATAAATTCAGCTCTGGAATTGCCAAACTCTGAAATGAACAAAAGAAAAAAGCAGAGTTCCAACAGTCATGGAAATCGTGGAATAGTCATGGAATTTTAGTATTTATTTAGTATTAGTAACTCCATTGTTCTGTTAAGTTCTCATTAGACTATTATAATTATTTCTGAACGTCTACGCCTTTTGTGTACAAGAGACGACAATAAAAAAAATATGTAATCCAAAACCATAAGATGAGAGGAAATAGTTAACATTTCATATTTAGCTCTAAAAGTCTGATCAGTTCTATGCATGTAGGTGCTGTAAAGTCATGGAAAATTCACTTTAGGTCGTGAAAAAGTCCTGGAAATGTTTTGAAATTTTGTCAGTGAAAAAGAGTGGGAACCCTGTAAAAGAATATGTTAACTTGAAAACTACAGCTTTGTGACATTACAAGGTGGAACAGAGCATTCAAACTTGTGTGAATGAAACAAAACACGACTCCAGGTTTGTTTTTTGAGGAGGGAACAACATTATAACTGAGTTTAAAGCTCACAAGAGTCTTCATTTTTGCCAGATGCTTACAGAATAATTCAGAATTTTCAATAAAAAACTGACATTAAACTCAAATAAAATGAACAAAAACCCATAATTAACACATTTTGTCTGTAATAAATTAAATGTCGCACAAAATAACTGGATAAAACTATGTGGAATTTGACTTTAGAGCCCCTGCGAAGGCTCTGGTCCCTGGTCCCGTCTCGCAATCGCCCGGAATATTTTTACGCCCGGACTCGTTTAAAACCTGGACCTGTTCGTAATTAAGGCATAAATTCTTCTGTAACATTTGCACAGTACTGTATTTTTAATAGAAAAGTTTAGTTGTAGCCAGTTTAGTTCATTTGGGCCATCGATTTAAAGCACTTCTCAAGGGTCATTTTTGTTTTGTTTTTTACGTGTATTGCGTAACTTTTCTGCCAGAGTGTCCGTCAAATGCGTTTTTCGTGAAGATGTTTTGCTTCGACTGGAATTTTTCACACTACGATGTTAGATTTTTCTGTCTTATCTTCACAGACCCCAAACTAGATCAATTTACAGGTCAGATCTGTGGAGAGGCGACCCCGCTCACAATCAGAATGAATGTTTTTCTAAGTATTTTTGGAGCTATAAAACCATCTGTAATTGAATAAATGTAAAGTAGAACTGTTTAATGCCGTACTGTGGAACATTCCAAGCAGAGAGCAGTGATGTGTCCATAGAAACGAGCAGGTGACAGACGCCCCCCGCCAACCAAAAAGTTACGCAGTGCACCTTTTAATGCTTAAAGTAAAACGTATCAGTAATTTTGATTTATAACGATTCTTAAGCGTAATTTTTCTCTTTTTTGTTTTGATTTGTTATGTTTTTTATTTTTTAAAAAGGTGCATTGCGTAACTTTTCTAGTGGAGGGTCTGCCCAGTGCTTTTCTTGTGAAGATGTTAGTTCTTAGTCTAGAATGTTTCGCAGTACGACGTTATGACTTTTCTATCAATTTTTGAGCTACAAAACCATCTGTAAATGAATAAATGTAAAGTAGAACTGTTTAATGTCACACTGTGGAACATTCCAGGCAGAGAGCAATGATGTATCCATAGAAACAAGCAGGTGACAGACCCTTCCTCCAACCAAAAAGTTACACAGTGCACCTTTTAAAGCTTGAAGTTAAACGTATCAGTCATTTTGATTTGTAGTATTTCTTAAGAGGAACTTTTTTGTTTTTGTTTTTTTATTTTTTAAAAAGGTGCATTGCGTAACTTTTCTTGTGGAGGGTCCGCCCAGTGTTTTGTTTTTGTTTGTTTTTTTGAAGATGTGATTGCTTCGACTAGAATGTTTCGCTGTACGGCATTAGACTTCTCTATGTATTTTTGAGCTGCAAAACCATCTGTAATTGATTACCGTATTTTCCGGAGTATAAGTCGCACCAGCCAAAAAATACATTTTTGGGGAAATGTGTTTTAGAAAATCAGAGACCAGGAACCGACGTTTCATCTTAAAAGTCAAGTTCTAGTAAAAACAATAGAACAGAGAACAACAGACTGTTAATGTCACACATGAACAGTTCTTCAGATAACTATAACTTAAACAACAGAACAGAACAAGTTTACCAAACTCTCCATCTCACTCCAAATCACTAAATCCATTCAATTCTTTATCCTCGGTGTCACTTCTGTGCAACCTCAGCAAATAAGCCATAGATCCATGATGTAAACAGAGCGCCGCTTCCTCTTCTGTGTCGCTGTCATCAGACTCAGCATCAGTTAGAATTATTCGGGCCTTTCTGAATCTCGACAGGATGGTTTCGGTGTCACTGAAGTCCAGACTCTGACAATTCATCCAGTGACTTCAGGAAAGTTTCATGGTGCATCCTCCCGGTTGCCGTGAAGCTGTGTTCTTCATCTCCACTTTCCGTCAGTCCCTCACAAGTTTCTCGCTCACTCCAAACTTTCTTTCTGCTGCTCGATTATCGTTTTCGGCTGCATATTTCACTATTTGCAGCAGGACAGCGGCTTTTTCTACAGGAGACATGCACAGTAGAGCGAAGTGACAGTGGTACAGGAGTAATAGTCGTATTAGACACTGACACACAAGACTAGAGCCTCTCGAAACCTCAGTGTGAAAATTTTAGTATATAAGTCGCAGGAAACACCCAAACCATGAAAAAAAGTGTGATTTGTAGCTCGAAAAATACCGTAAATGTAAAAATAGCTGTTTAATGTCACAATGTGGACCATTCCAAACAGACCAACGACATATCCATAGAAACAAGCAGCTGACGGACCTTTCCTCCAACCGAAAAAGTTACGCAATGCACTAATTTATTTAATGCTTGATTTTGCCATTTACTGTGCACAAAACCTGAATGTCGACACATCTCCACAGGCCTTACTTAAAACGTTTCACCGCTTAAATAATTTCAGTTTCGGTTAAAAAATAAGTTTCGTAAAGTGACGAAAGGGAGCTTGGTTAAGGCTGTTTTCGGAGGGATAAAACGTAAGAAATTGGAAAAATCCGCTTTGCCAAATGACGCACTCCTGCTGAAACCGTAAAGACGCGACGTAATCGTAATGCATGAGGCCAAAATTCGCTTAAAAGTTTCAAATGTTTATTTAAATCGCCTCGAAAAGTGAACACACAGCACAGTCGTGTAGCACCGTCACTTTCGCTACTTTCGTTTTTTCTTCGTTTTTTGTACATTTCCTAGATAAATCCTTGTATTTTTCCCCAATCTTTGCCGTTTTTTTAATCCGGCAAAACTCCTACTATAATCAAAACGCCATATGTAACATTTTCGCTGCCAAATCGTACACAGTTTTTGCCAAAAACGGAACGTGTCAAATGGCTAAAAATATAATCGTTTGCATTTTTCGATTGTAGAATTACGTTGCTAATTGTTTTACAGCTATAACATTTTGTATCGTCGGCTTTTTTTCCTCGACGTGTGGAATATTTATCGACAAAAACGTCAATGTTACAGAAATTCTTGATAAGTTAGTGCAAAATATTTGGGCTTTTATTATTTTTATTATCAGTTTCTCTTTAAATATATGCTTATCCTTCAGATTCGTTGCAAGTGTAAATTTAAATGTCATGTTTTCTGTTTTGTTTTGTCATCTTGCCGCCTTTTTCTGGGGAATCTCACGTTGTAAATTTAATCTGACGTCTGGAATAAGTCGCCATGATCCAAGTCTGTTACAACGAAACGATCCCGATATTTGCCTTTTATTTCGTCGGGATTTTGATTCGAGACGAGCACGATGCAAACGGAAATCACAGCTCATTTCGTTCTGTTTTATTTTATTTTCGATCCTGGGTTTCTTGGACTCCTGATCACTTTTGGAGAGACTTTTGAATCTTCATGAATTATTGTTTTTGCGTTAAAGTACAGCACACAGAGCCAGGCCTGTGTCCGGCTGCTCCTCTGTAGAGAATAGCTTTATCTAGGGCCTGGGCCTTTAGCTGATGTAGAAAAATAAAGGGATCAGAAGATGTGGAAAATTCTGGTGATTTAATTAAATAATTTTGGTTTTGTTGTAAATGTTTGAATATCAATAAAAGGCATTCCTTTAAATAATGTGATGGCCTGTTTCTTTTGAAAAGGTGAGTGTAGAAAATCTGTGTATCATTCGTTCATCCGTTTTTCAATATAAACCAAAAATAAGAAAATGAACAAACAACTGTTTCTTCATTTGTCTCCAAAACCAAAATGAAAAACAGATAATGATTCCTTTTTTCAGTTTTCGATTTTGTGTTTAAATGACTTCACGTGACTTCCATGACTGTGATGTTGGACTTTTGCACTGCATACGGACTGAACCAGGACTGATCCAGGTCCGGGACCAGACTGGAGGCTCAGAGCCCATGGCAGGGCCGGAACTTGAAGCTGAGGCTCGAACCCCGCAGAGACTCGGAGTCCGCTCTGGTCTCTGTTTCGGTCCCGGTCTGGTCCCGGATCTGGATCGGTCCTGGTTCAGTCCGTATGCAGTGCAAAAGTTTGGCATCGCAGTCATGGAAGTCACGTAAACGGGAAACGCTCGTTATCAGTTTTTTCCATTTTTAATTTAAATACAAAATCGAAAACTGAAAAAACAAATCATTATCTGTTTTTTTGTTTTGGTTTTAGAGACAAATAATGAAGAAAATCGTTTTTTTATTTTCTTATTTTTAGTTTTATATTGAAAAACGAATGAACGAATGATAGACGAATTGTAGAAAACATTCAGTGTTCAATAGAGTTCTCTCGTTCACAACTACTGCACCACAAATCAAAATGCAAACTCATGAAATAAATCTGTGCACATTAAATACAGAACCAGGTTAACAATAAACAAGTCTGACTATGAGGCTGTAGCCAGTTGTAGAAGTTGTAATCTAGTGCCATCCAGCAACCACACTTCACAATATTGACTGGAAAAGCAACTAAATCAGGGGTGTCCAAACTTTTTTCAAGGGCCACATGTCTAAACACAGACGAAGCAGAAGGCCGATTGAGGGCCACAGACTGGTGCTCAATACAGTGAAGAATTGAAATATCTGCAGGTTTATCACGTTAGAATGAGCCCTCAGACTTTATTCATGCTAAGATCCTCAAAAAAAAAAACACAAAATATTAAATATTCGCTTTATCAAGGTAGATTTTCAAAAAACTTGCAATAAATAGTTAATTCATAAATGATATAAGGTCATTTGGGCCAATTCACCTGGAAGGGCCAATAAAAATTTGTGCCCATGCTCCATAGTTTGGACATGCCTGAACTAGATAAATATCCCTGTAAATATCCTTAAGAATACAAGGTGACAAATAAATAACATTTCATTGCTCACGTTTCAAATGTAAAAGCACCACAGTAAAGAAAAACATGCAAACTGTGTGAAAATAATCAGTGCATGTTGTAAAGGAAGTGTGTGCAGCCGCTGCTCTTTCTGTTAAAAAGATAACAACTATTAGGCAAGGCGGGTTTATTTGTATAGAAAAATTTTTACACAAAATCATTTACAGCATCATAAATACATTTACAGAATTAGAAATACATTAAAATCACAATACAAACAAATCAAATCATAAATACCCAGAAAATTAAAAAGAAAGAAGAGTGCAGAATGAAAATCTTTTACTTCTTACAATCACAAAAGAACATTATTAACAACAACCATATGACTGTGTAGTATTTGTTTTATAGATGATGCTGACACATGGTTTCAGTTCACTTGGTCTGGTTTGGGCTCCATGAAGATAAAGGTTTGGTTTCAGTTTATAAACAGGCCTCGTGTGAAAACTCAGAACCTCCAGAATTCTCTCCCTGGAGTGTTTTTCAGCATCGACACTGGCGACACAAATTTTAAATCTAAATCTAACATGCAGCCCCTTAAAGTAAAAAAGCTCATAAAAAAATAAAAAGCATGTTCCCTGACCGGGAATCGAACCCGGGCCGCGGCGGTGAGAGCGCCGAATCCTAACCACTAGACCACCAGGGAAGATGACACAAATCAAAAGTAAGGAAATAAAATACCAGACACACTTGTTAAAACAGCTGAATGTTTATTGAGAAGTGTTTATAATACAGATAAACACCACCGCACGGCACACTTTTAGAGCCAAGTTCTCCCAATAATACGATAAAAAAAAAAAACTTAATACATATTATCATTAACAACCAACGTGAAAGTATCAGATAAGCAGTGCTTATCCCCCCCCCATTGTTCTTGAAACATGCACATCTCTATATTTTTTTATATATTATTAAATTTTTTTCCCCATTGTTCTTGAAACATGTACATCTCTGTTTATTTTTTTTTTTTATATATTATTTTATTTTTTTCCTCATTGTTCTTGAAACATGTACATCTCTCTATTTTTGAAAATATATTATTTTATTGTCTGTTTTTCCCCCCATTATTCTTGAGACATACCCATCTCTATTGGAATTATGGTGGACTGGAAACGTGTCTTTTGAGTTGAAAGTAGTTTTATTTATTTTTTGTTAGTACAATTACATTTTTGTTGACATCCATGACATGATTATTATTATTTTTGTAACGATTATTGTTTAAAAGTAAACTACTCTCATTTAATGTTATATGTGCTGTAACAGATTAAAGTTTATTTGTAAGTATTTTTAATATACACCACCGCACGGCGCATAGTTTACTTTTAGAGCTATATTCTCCCAATAATACAATCAAAAATACAAAATAAATAAATAAATAAAACACTTAATACATATCATCATTACCGACCAACGTGAAAGTATCATGTAAGTAGAGTTACATTGTTTTTCCCTGTAACAATTTGGGGGCCCTGGGCAAATTTGACCTTGGGGCCCTCACTATAATTCACAGTTTTTTTTGTTTAATATATTATTTTATTGTCTGTTTTTTTGTTCTTGAGACATGCACATCTCTATTTATTGAGATTATGGTGGATTGGAAACTTGTCTTTTGAGTTAAAAGTAGTTTTCTTTTTTGATAGTACAATTACATTTTTGATGCCGTCTATTACATATGATTATTATTTTTCTTGTGATTATTAATTACATAAATAAATAAATAAATAATAAAAACAGTGTCAGAGTTAGACATTTGGGGAACCTGGGCGAATTCGAGTTTGGGGCCCTCACTATAATGCACCATTAAAAAAAAAAAAAGGTTTTGTCTGTTTATACCCCATTGTTCTTGAGACGTGCACATCTCTATTTATTGGAATTATAGTGTATTAGAAACTTGTGTTATGAGTTAGGTAGTCTACTAAATAACCAGGAAAGTAGTTTAATTGTATTTATTTATTTATTTTTTTGCTAGTATAATTACAGTTTTGTTGACTAAATAACCAGGAAAGTAGTTAAATTTTATTTATTTATTTTTTTTTGGCTAGTACAATTACAGTTTTGTTGACATCTATTACATGTAATTATTATTATTTTTCTTAAAGTACATTACTCTAATTTAATGTTACACTGAGAGAAAATCAAATCACTCTGAGGCCTCTGATTATAATAACGAGACTGTTGTTTATCTGGCAC